GCCCCAGGCCCACACCCCCCCTACCAGGCAGGCATTGAGCGGTCTCTCCTGCCCTCTAGTGGCCTCTGCTGGAACTGCATCCAAGAAGAATCTCCAGTACAACCTGTCACACCTGCTGGAAAGCCCAGGCTGAGTGTCACTAGGGCTCACCTGGCCCCACTAGCGCTTCAGGCAGCCAGGAGGCCCATCCTGGAGCCACAGCCAGGCAGGGACAGTCCCGCCAGGAAGGGCTCTGGGCCCTGTCTCTCCCCCTCCTTTCACATCTGCAAACGTGTGAGCTTGAGCGGCCTCGAAAAGAAGTTTGCAAAAACCACGCTGCCCTTACCTTTTCATTGTCTTGGAAACATCATTCGCTGCAGGTTTGCCTCGTTGCAAAGAGACGTTACGTCAGGTGTTAAGTCCATGCTGGCATTTAACAAATAAGGCTGGCCCAGCTGGGTGTGGCTCAGCAGCTGAGCATGGACCCAGGAACCAGGAGGTCACCGGTTCGATTCCCGGTCAGGGCACACGCCCGGGTTGCAGGCTCGATCCCATGTGGGGGGCATGCAGGAGGCAGCCGATCCATGATTCTCTCTCATCATTGATGTTTCTCTCTCTCCCTCTCCCTTCCTCTCTGAAATCAATGAAAATATTTTTTTTTAAATAAGGCTATTACATCACCCTTACAAATGTATCCAGGGAACCCAGACGCCATAGTGACTTCACATCTACCATCTATGGTTTAAAGAGGTAGGAGTAATTCTTTGCTGCAGAATCAGGAAATGGACATTTTCTAAAAAAATGAAAACAATGGCCAAAAGGGTGGTGTGGCCCTAGCTGGTGTGGCTCAGTGGATAGAGCATCGGCCTGCGGACCAAACGGTCCTGGGTTCGATTCTGGTCAAGGGCACCTTGTTTGCAGGCTCCTCCCCGGCCTGGGCCCTGGTCAGGGCTCGTGCAAGAGGCAGCCAATCGATGTGTTTCTCTCACATCAATGTTTCTCTCTGTCTTTCCTTCTCTCTTCCACTCTCTCTAAAAATCAATGGAGAAAATATCCTCGGGTGAAGATTAACAAAAAAAACACACACAAAAACACACACAACAGGGTGGTGTGTGACTGCTTTTGTGTTTAAGTCAACTCCACGCCCGTCAGTCTCTGTGGACTCCCCTGGGACACAAACTGCGCCCCCATAACGCCAGGGTCACCAATTATCACATGGTTGTCTTTTCATCGTGAATCAGCCTCCTGACATTACTTTCTTCATTCAGGTAAGACAGAGGAAGACTTATTACCAAAAATGTTTTTTATTGTCTACACTCCTATTTATATAGCTGTAAACTCAAGGAATCATCCAACAGTTGTATAAACTGGGGGAACAGTTAATAAGCACCTTCAATGGTTTCCACAGTTCAAGAATTTACCATTTAAAAAAACACTTACAAAAATTATACAAAAATCACGACAAACGTTTGAATATAGAGGGCTTGATATAGAATGAATGATAAATATGAAAAGAAAGTGAAACTAATTTGAGTTGGGCCATCTAAACAACCTGTGTGTTACCCAAACGCTGTGATTCTCGGGGGGGTGGAGGGGGGTGGGAGAAACGACTCGCCTCTGAAAACAAACTCCAATTATTCAAGGAAAGGCTCTCTCCTGATTTAGGTTCCAACGGGCTGCAGCCTTGGCAGGTGTCGAGGTGCTGACAAAGTGGTGGGTGTGTCAGCGTGCGGCTGAGCTTGTAAGGCCACAGGGGATGGCTCAGGCCTGGGAGGGTCTGCTCACCACTGGGGTGCTAAGTTGGGGAACACAACTTAGTTCCAGAGCACATAACCCTCCCTTGGGGCTGTACTCATTTGTCTAAGGGTTTGGGGGGGCGGGTCCTGTCTTTGTGGAGGGGTAGGAACTTCCCCATTCCAGAAGCTCAGGGCTTATGTGTTGGGGAACAGGGAGGGGAACGTTGTTAAGGCTCAGGCTGGCGGCCACTCAGCCACCAGGTCAGACAGTTTTTGGTCTGGACCCTTTGCAGCAGGGTGTTGCTGCGAAATACTTGGTGAGGAAACAAGGCAGTCTTGTCTTCATTTCCGCTCAATGCAGTCAACTCCCAGGGTGTTGTCAGGGCAACGGCAGGTCCTGCTTCCTGGGGTGGCCAAGCAGAGGTGGGTGCAGCCACCGTTGTTCACTGAGCAGTAGTTGTGACCTAGAGGAGGCAGAAATCAGCTCGACAGCCTCTAAGCACATGGAGGCCACGCCTGTGGGGGCTTGGGGGTGCAGTGGGGGGCTGTACCAGGCACTCAGCTAAGCTCAGCTCCTGGCTGTTTCTGCCAGAGAGTCCAAAAGCCTGATTCCTGCCCTGGGGGGGCCATGCGGGTCTCAGGGAGAGCAGACTTGCTCTGATTGTAACACGGAGTTGGAATTTTAAAGCACAAAGTACCCTCTACCTAGCTTGCCCGTGTGGCGTTGCACCTGACGGGGGAGGAGGGAGGCAGGGACGAGAGTCTGTCCGGGGAGGGGTCTAGAAGAGGCAGCACCGACTCTGGGGCCGGGCTTGCCTCTGGTTCTGCCACGGTCAGCCATGTGACGTTGGGCGAATGGCTTCAGCTTCCTTATTTATAAAACTAGAGGCCCAGTGCACGATTCGTGCACCAGGTGGGGTCCAGCCAGCCCGCCCCAATCGGGGCCCATTGGGCAGGACCAGCCGGGGGGAGGGGCTGCGGGTGGTTGGCCAACCGGCCCACCCCCCCTGGTCGAACTCCCAGTCAAAATCCTGGCCGAGGGGACAATTTGCATATTAGCCTTTTATTATATAGGATGAGCATAATAGCCCGGTGGGTATGGCTCAGTGGTTGAGAGTCGACCTAGGAACCAGGAGGTCAGGTTCCTAGAGCACATGCCCGGGTTGCGGGCTCGATCCCCAGTAGGGAGCGTGCGGGAGGCAGCCCATCAATGACTCTCTCTCATCATGGATGCTTCTCTCTCTCTCTCTCTCCCTTCCTCTCTGAAATCAATAGAAATCTATTTTAAAGGAGCATAATAACCGTAGCTACCTCACTGCATTGCTGTGAGGAGTAAATGAACGAATGAACACATAGCACTCAGGATGCTGAGGGAGTCCATCTGTGCAAAGCACCCAGCTCGCCGTTAAGTGCCACCCCCGTGGTTATAACTATTTTTTTTAAAATATATTTTATTGATTTTTTTTTACAGAGAGGAAGGGAGAGAGATAGAGAGTTAGAAACATCGATGAGAGAGAAACATCGATCAGCTGCCTCCTGCACATCTCCTACTGGGAATGTGCCCGCAACCCAGGTACATGCCCTTGACCGGAATTGAACCCGGGACCCCTCAGTCCACAGGCCGACGCTCTATCCGCTGAGCCAAACCGGTTTCGGCTATAACTATTTTTATTATTAATTATGGCTATGGCTGTTCGGCCGAATACATGGACGTTCAAAGCAGCAGAGCTCCTAGCACTGACGCTCCCGGCTGGAACCTTCTAGAAGGCGGCCACTTCTGGACCCGGCCCCAGACTCGGTGCTCTTCCTCCCCTTGTCCCTTCAGGCCACGTCCTACGCATCTGGCTCAGCCACAAACAAGGCA